AACATCTCAATTAGGGTATTTATTTTTAAAATAGATGATTAATTTAGTCGAGTGCGGGGATTTCAAAAACTATCAGTAAAAGAATCATCAGAGCAGCTATCGCTAAATATCGGAGACTGCATCGGAGGCTTCCTAATCGCAAAAACATCCAGCGAAATTTTTTCTGAAGTACAATAAATCTTTGGGATGAGATACCGCTTCAGAGTCCGTGTGAAACAAGTTTGTGCAGCATTCAAAATAATGTTCTCTTCAACTACCCACTTCGATGTATCGTCTCTCAAAATCTTTGAAATATTCGATTCCTTGGACCACATTATCAGATATACGCCTGCCAAACTTAGCGAATAAAACTCTCTACAAGATATACAATCAACCACGTTCAGCTGGTGAACTGGAAATGGTATAACTTTCACACTAACCGGCGCTAGCTTGTGCCTCAGTAGAACGATTACATCTTTTTTACTAGCCTCAAAAAACACAAAGAAGTCTTCAATAAAAGAATCTAGCATGTTATTCGGTTTGCTATCGCACGGTATTTGGAATTGATCAATTGTAGACCGGAGAGTTTTGGTTGCAGCGTCCCAAAAAACCCACTCAACTTTATGTCCAACAATAAATGGCGTAAGATAATACGGCATCGAAGGGTAATGGACATCAAAATTTGCCATTTTACCATCGTTAGGCTCAAGAACACTAACAGATTTGTCATCAAATAAGATCAGAATCCACCAGCCATATATGCAAAAGACATATTCGACATCAGAATTCATGCCTAACTGATTAGTAATAACTTTTTCATTGATTATATTAGCACCTGTTTCAATGAAACATTTCTGAATTTTATAACCTTTTGGCTTAATTTCGACTTCAATCGCTGATTCATCGTCATCGTGAAGGTTAAAAAAGAAGCGCTCTTTAATTTTAGCTGAACCGGTGGAGCGAGAAAAATTGTTCCAGAGAACAACGCTCTTTTTTGCCTCGCAGGCCTTCTCAAATTGCATTTTGATTTCAACAAGAAACTTTTCGAAATCAGCGTCTAAACTTCCAGTGTCTGCAATTTCACTCACACCATCAAAACTCAAGCCTTTGATTTGTTTGTGCGAATTAGAGCAAAGTTCGATCTTTGCAGAACTCTCCGTAAAACTTTCAATCATTGCACCTTCTGAGCTTTGGAGCACATTTCTCAAATCTTGCTGCAGATCAACTACATCCTTGATGTGGGCTTCAACGTCTTTTTCAGAGCTTTCCATGCCACTCAACTTGCTTCGGATTTCGTGAACAACCTTTACTTTGATTTTATCTATTTGATTTTCAACATACTCAATCAATTTTTCAGCATCTTCCCTGCGACTCGCTAGAGTAGCCGACACCAATTCTTTCTTTGCTCGCGCCGGTTTCTCGTTCAACTCCCATTGTGTGAGAGCTTCAAACACTTTCGCTCTGACTTCCGAAGCTTTCTTTTTCAGAGGCTCAAACTCATGCTTGATGTGGTCTCTCAGACACTTAACACAACATAACTTTTCGCACGTTTTACAGAACTCAGAGCATAATTGCTTATGATCTTTGCAGACAGATGGTTCGAATCCTCGGTTGTCAGCAATTTTGTGGTTCTTTTTGATATGCGATATCACACATCCGTCACAAAACACTTCTAAAGGTTGAGCCGGGTCAATGACCGTATCTGAACACGTAACACATTTGAAAATGTTTTCTAAGGGAATGGCATCTTCGCAGTTAGTGCACGTAAAACCTGACTCTGCAGTAGAAGATTCCGCAGTAATAGAAACTGAAGCCATTTTAAAGCACGTTTAATTAATTTACATGCGTAAAGAAAGTCGTAACCAAGTTAGAACTATACTCTTAACTGATATTCATAAATAACAATAATATGGTTTGACTCACGTAAGCTGTGCAAATCACTGCAACATGCTCAAATTAATCAAATTGAACGGCCGTCTTGTGATAGAAAAAACTTTCATCGCGTACCTGAATGTGATTCTGAAAAGTTATGCTATCGCGTGACTCGCACCTTCTTGCTTTAATTTTGATTATTGAGCATATAGCTATTTTCAACCGTAACCAAATTATATTTGCATGGCTATAAAATATCAATACCTAAAGTATCTCTGAAGCATATTTTGTTGGCATAGCAAGCAACAGAAACATGATTGAATGAAACAACAGCCAAAACATTTAAACAGTCTAAATAGCGACAGTGCGAAGCAACTAAAAGTAGACCTAATCATTTTTGTCTATAATATGTTTTCCTTTGAACAATTTGAAGAAGCTTCAAACTCAACTTTAGTATATTTTTCAATGTTTCGATATTATCTGGAATTCGCCCTTTACGACCTCAACAAAACATAGCATCCCACAAATTTGAATATGAAAGAAGGACCATACGATAGAAAAAAGTTAAAACAATGCGAGCTGGCGGACATAAAACAGGACCGTAGACGCGATGTCAAAAATTATATTAAAAAAATGTCGAAAAAACTATCCTCAATAAATTCATACGGTTATCTCGAAATATTTTCAATTTAGAGAAAATATGCCGAAAAACAAAATTGACACAATAAAATTAACCGAGCGGAAACTGGGCTGACATTACTTGGGTATTTGTGTATTGAGCCGAAAACGAAATTGTTGTCACAAAATTTTTTTAGCATTGAAGTATGCAAAAAAATCAACTTTCATTTCAAACGATGAATTATAAGGTGACTTCGCCAAAAAAAACATAGACCGAAACAATTTAAGTCGGGTAAGCATACTTAGCGAAGGATAAATCGAGATAAAAGCTTTAGAAACTTTAGGCTATCAATAGGCCAGCTATAAAAGTCATAATTGGTGACGACTCCTAGAACTTTCAACTCCCAGATAGAACGCTGTCTTTATTGCTGTACAATAGAAGGGAAGAGTATGACACAGATAACCTACAACCCCTTGGCGACAAACGACATGTAATGTACTTTGCTGTTGTTGTTGAAAATGAAAAGAGACTTCAAGGAAGTCAGCTGATGCCAACGCCATCGTCAAGCCCGGTTCTTCCGTTCAGATATCGAGAGTTGTAGCCATTTTTCCGCAGAGTTTAAATGTGGTTGCTTCACTGCCGGCATTCCAGCCAGCGTTGTACTGAATTCTTATCTTCCTCACTTTTTCTTCTCGTGGGCTATACTGGCGGGTCTACACCGCTCCTGCAAGAGCCAGAGGCAGCGTGGTGAGCGAGACCTTAATCTCGCCAGTATGACTGCATCTTCAGCGCCTTCGGCGTTTCTTTGTGTTTTTTTTTTCGCGTTAATTTGGCGTATACAGCAGCTACTGTGGTGAGATGACGCTCTGTTTTTGATGGCCTTCTTGCAAGCCCTTGCAACTGCAGGAGACACGAGCTTAAATTGCTCCTCAATCATTGTGGCTTCGTTTGATAAGGTATCGGTATCCTAGTCTGTATTGTGGCTTTTTCCACGTTCATCTGATCTCTTATGTGTCCTTAGTGATTGCACTGGTGAATGGCTGTCCAAGCAAACAAGTGCATTCCAGAGATCAGCCACAGTGTCTGTAAATCCTTCGGTTGCGCTCAGCATGCTTCCCGTTGCCCCCGTACGACTACCCTAGCTCCCTGCCTTTGATTTTTATCTCTGTAACCTATCTCGGCTTCTCGGGTTGCTACTGGTTATGACAACCCCAGCAAATCCCCTGCAGCTAACTGCCTCTGCGGATTCATTGGCGGAGAGATGACGACGTCGGCTTCTTGATACGAGTAGCCTTTCTGCTTTGTCCGTTTTTACGTCATTTTTCTGCCAATTTGCTTGCTGCTTTGTTTTTATCATTGGATCAAATTTGCTGCAGCCGACTTGTAGTGCTCTGCAGCTTGATTTCATGGCTCCCGCTATTATATGGTCCGGATTGAACAAGTAAGAAAGAAAGAAAGAACATGTATATTTAATAATCAATCTCAACAAAAACGCTTCCGATCCGGATCAGAAAAATGCATGATAACAGATTCAACAGACAGGTCCAGATTTAACTTTGAACGATAGCTTCACTCGGTATGCTTCTAAATCGAATTTCACTAGTGATCTGCCAATCTAACCAGTCTAACTTTCCTTTACAAGAATGTATAGAGAAATTATCCAATCCAGGTTGACAAAAAAGACATTGGAAGGTTGAATCAACTATCAGTCAGCTGAATTTCAAAACAATCTTTTCATTCGCAAATCAGCAAGCTTATGTAATGTTGACACTTCGTTTTGTATTGAAAGCACCAACATGTTGGTGAGAAAGAGTTTAGTTTCTTCTGCCATTTTCATAGTTTTGTACACATATTTAACTAGCAAACTCCCAATAGGCATGCAAACCCAATTTTAAACACCATTTTAGAAAAAAAAAAAGAGAATTATTGTATCCTCGTGGCGTTTTTCATGATCATGTGTTTTTTACAATGATTGCAAAAAAAAAAATTGTTAATTTTATTCGTAAAACAATTCGGCTTTTGTAGCAGATAGTCGCTCTAATTAAACCAACCTCGTTTTTAGACAAACTTAGTTTTTTTTAAGAAAAAAAACAGGTGGGTTGATTATCCCAACTTTTCCAAATGTCTTCGAAACGCTTTTGACTACAGCTGCAGTTGAAGACATTTAATTACTTACATCCGTAATAGAAAGCAAGGTAATTCGTACAGAAATTGCAGCTTCAGATCTTTCTAGAAATTTACATTGCAACTAAACTGATCGTTTTGGTTTGTTTACTCAATGGCTAAAAAACACTGAGTTATGAGGCTAGCTTACTTACCGGTTTAATGATTAGCTTGATCTAGATGACGCTATTGTAGACAATATCTTGATGTGTCAAAAGTCAAGTAGAACTACCAATTCTAGGCTCATTATGTTAAAAAAAGTATTTTGAAGGGATGTCACCATTCTTTATATTATCAAAGTCAAGTAGAACTACCAATTCTAGGCTCAATATGTTAAAAAAAGTATTTTGAAGGGATGTCACCATTCTTTATATTACCATTAACGATACAATTTCTCAAGGCACAAAAACAAAAACATAAGATAAAAATATATTATTATGTTGGATTGATTTCAAATTTCATTGCACCATAAGATATTGCCTAAAACTGTTCGAAAACTACAAAGAAGAAAGTTACATAAGAATCTTCTACGTATTTTAAATTTTTATATAAATGACAACTTAATATCAGTTACGAGTAGCTCAACAAGCATCTTGAGATGATAAGACTTTTGAACGGTGTATAAATCAAAGCAGCAATTCAAAAGAAGAGATAGATGGTCTAATATTTGCTATCCGTCAGACATTCTTCACTAATCAGATCCTTGAACACCAGAAAAGCATACACGTAAATCTTTTTAGAAGTGCAAAAAACTTTTGGAATGAGATACTGCCGTATAGTACTCGAGTAGCATGTTGGTAGAGGGCTCAAACGTATGCTCTCTTTAACTGCCCATCCCCCTCCACTTTTACTCAAAATCTTTGCTAGATTCGATTCCTTGGACCACAATATCACATATACACCTGTGGTACTTTTCAAATCCAATTCTCCGCAAGATATACAGTCTATGAAGTTCAAATGGTGAACAGAAAAGGGTATGATGTCCACATCAGAATGTATTGGGCACCTCTCGACGACTATAACATCCTTTTTATCAGCTTCAAAATAAACAAAACGGTCAATAAAAGAATGTAGCATGTTAGTCGGTTTACTTGCGCATGGTATTTTGAATAGAGCCATTGTAGATCTGAGAGTTTTGTCTGAAGCGTCCCAAAAAACCCACTCAACGTTTTTCCCGACAACAAACGGAGTAAGATAATGTGGCATTGAAGGGTAACTTACGTCTATTTTCTTCATCTTAGTACCGTCGTTAGCCCAAAGAATACAGACAGATTTGTCGACAAATAAGAGCAGAATCCACCAGCCACTGATGCAATAGACATACTCGACAGAATTTAGACCTAAATTAGTCACAATATTTGCATTCACAAGATTCGCACCTGAGTCAATGACACATTTCTGAATACTATAACCATTAGGTTGAATTTCGATTTCGATTGCTAAATCATCATCATCACGAAGGTTAAAGAGGTACCGGCGCTTTTTATATTTAGTTGAGCCGGCGTTGCAAGAAACAACGCTCTTCTTTTTTTCCTCGCAGGCACTTTCAAATTGCACTTTGATCTTATCAAGAAACTTTTCAAAATCAGCGTCTAAACTTCCAATGTCTGCAATTTCATTCACACCATCAAAATTCAAGGCTTCGATTTGTTTTTGCAAACTTGAACATATTTCAATTTGTACCAAAGTCCGCGGAAAACTTTCAACCATCACGCCTTCTGAGCTTTGCAGTAAGTTTCTCAAATCCCTCTGCAGATCAACTACTTTCTTAACATGAGCATCGACGTACTCTTCGGAATTTTCCACACCAATCAACTTGCTTCGGATTTCGAGAACAATCTTTGTTTTACTTTCCTCTATTTTCTGTTCAACATAGTCAATCAATTTCTCGGCATCTTCTCTGCGACTCACTAGAGTAGCCGAGACCAATTCTTTCTTAGCTCGCGCTGGTTTCTCGTTCAACTCCCATTGTGTTAGAGCTTCAAATACTTTCGCTCTGACTTCCGAAGCTTTCTTTTTCAGAGGCTCGAACTCATGCTTGATGTGGTCTCTCAGACACTTAACACAACACAACTTTTTGCACGTTTTACAGAACTCAGAGCATAATTGCTTATGATCTTTACAGACAGATGGTTCGAATCCTCGGTTGTCATTAATTTTGTGACTCTTTTTGATATGAGATATCACGCATCCGTCACAGAACACTGCTAAAGGTGGGATTGGGTCAGTTACTGCATCTGAACATGTGACACATTTGAACATGTTATCGAATGGGATTACATCTTCGCAATTGCTACACATCAAATTTGTTTCTATATTTTTGGACGCCATTTCAAGTAACTTTCATTTACAACTGAAATGAATTTTAAAAAAGTCAAAAAATTTTAAATTTTTCGATGCGCGAGCCTTTAATTCAATGCTGCAACAAGGAATTTTTTAAACGAATAGAATAAAGCTGTTTTATACTGCAAGATTTCAAACGGCAAGTTTTAAGTGCAAGAGGATTTAATTCAATATTGAAGCCGGCTATTTAAATTTATATGATTTTAAGCTTTTTGTAAGCTTCCATTAAAATAAACTACTTCCGATCACAATCCTCCTGCTGAATATGCGGATTACAGCGCACAAAATGATATATTCGATGCACGTTACTTAACGATGAAGTTCCCGATTACACTTGTTGTCTTATCGACAATTGACCTTCCATCACTAGTCAAAGGCTGCCTATTGGAGATATTATTTATTATTAGATATACCATTTATTAAAGCAACAACAAGTGACCCAAAATATTGACATCAGAATCGTCGGAAAAGTGCCATTAACACAATTTGTTCTCAAACCTCTCAAAGCCCCTTGATTTTCAAAAACAATTTATCTTCGAGATTTTTCTACCAAAACGAGCTATTCATAAAACCTAGAGACCGCTAGAAAAACATCAATGAACTGTGTAAAAATGAAAACTGTAAAAAAATGTTGTTTCAAGAAACTTTTTTAACCTCCGTTCAATGTTTGGCGGTAATTATGTGGTATTTTACGTTTGCCAAGAAAATATTCAATTTAGCCTAACTCCTTTTGAAAAACAGTTATTGGCATAACTAAAATTTAACCGTAATTTTACAGGCTGTGTTGTTAAGGAAAAGGTACCAAACATTTCTCGAACTCCGTCAAATGTTTCTCAAACTTCGTCAAATTTAAGACACAAAGAGATAAATTTAAAGGTGCTTGGAACCTTGAAGAAATTTATCAGTATGAAAAACATAATTTACAGCTCAACACTTGATATGTAATCGAGAAATAAAAAAACAGGTGCTAGCAGGCTTCAAAAAATCTTCGGGCAGGAACTTCTCATTTTTAAGAAAATCATATGACAATTTTATCGCCAGCGTCATATAAACCCTTTGAAAACCTTAAGCGTCATTTCATCCAAAAATTATACGGGAAAATGCCAAATAAGTCCGGAAAATGCCAAATAAAAAAAATCTGGGTCGCCGATTCCTGCAAAAGCTTTGAGCCACATAAAACATTTAACTTTTTAATAGCTGAGTTGATAACTCCAGTAACCTAAAATTGAAATAGGAAGAGAAGAAACAGAAGACACTGGAGCTGTTTTTCTTCATGCAATCTGCATGTGTACTATGGTTCCTGTCAAAGTAGAATTGTTTTGCGCAAGATGTAAAATTTTTTAAAACCCAATCAATAATAAACGCAGTTGTCTTCGATCTTTTTCGTCGGTATCAAAAAAAATTCAAGTTTGGTGAAAACAACATGGGGCCTAGGAAATTAGACGATAAGCAAATTAGACGGATGCTACAAAAACGAAATTAGACGGAATTTATTTTTTACAGATCTGGCATTTTAGACGAAAAAGCTATGAAAAGGAAAGGGCCAACAAAAATTTTTCTTAAAAGTCAAATTTCACAAATACAAAAAGAACATAAAATGTCAAAACCTACCAAAAAAATAGTTTAAATGAGCATAAAATGTCAAATTTGAATATTACAAGAGAGTTTTGAATTGAATAAATTATGCATGATTGACTTGTAAAATTTTTGGCCACCGAAATTGAACTATTGTCTACAAACAATTTTATTTTTCTAACGCAATTTGTGTGCAAACCAAGTTAATTTCTCTCACTTTCGTCTATTTTCTCACAATTGCAGTTTTGCAAAACCGTCTAATTTCCTTTTAAGTACCTCCGTCTAATTTGCTTATCGTCTAATTTCTCAACCCCCAAACAACATGTTTACTTTCTTATCTACAACAAAAAATATTCTATAAAACAAATTGTTTCACCAGCCGGAAAAAGAAACATTGTTCAAAGTGTAGTTATATAATTACAAAGTATCAGCGATTTCTGTACTGTAATTACGCAAAGTGATGAGGCTTTCTATCGATACATAGTTTCCATAGTTTAAGGTCGAAATGTTTCGACGACACCACTTCTAGAATGCAGCCTTGTGATAAAGAAAGGGAAAAGTTTCTCGTAACGGTTAAAAAAAAACAATTTCGAAAAAATCGATCTATTTACGATTTAAAGACAAAAATTAGTCATATTATTATAAAATTTTAGATTAACGTAGCAAGCACAGCTGCAAATCAGAAAAATTAAATAAGCTCTTCGGTAGATTAAAAACTGAGTCGCGCCAAGAAAAACCTAATTTTCAGTTATATATGCAAGCCATCACTGAAAGTCTAGAAATACCAAAAAAAACTAAGCATAATATCATTTCACAAAAACATTGGAACAAACAAAACCATGTATTTGAACTCGAGACAATATTTCAAAACGTTTATGTCCCACGAAGCTCAATCAATAATAAGATAATTACAATACACAATTGCAATTCCTCATTGACCATCTTTTAGTTACTTCATAACAGTCTTAGGCAGGGGCGGATCTAGGATTTGCTCGAGGGGGGGGGGGGTTGTATTTTTATATTTTCAAAAAATTTTCCAAAACTTTGACGACCTTTTTTTTAGGTCGACCAAATTGATTTTTCGAGCTGTCCCAAAGCAGTGTTTTGCCCCTAGACTGCTAGATGATTCAACCTAGTTAGGAAATCTAGTGCAACATGTTTCGAATTTGAAATTTCTATTGCGCCAATCAAAGTCATATTCTCGGAGTCGGTGCGGCCCTGTGTATCGATCTCGCAATTGCTCCAAAGCTTGTTCGAGATCTTTTCGCGCAAGTTCTTCAAGATTTGAATAGAGTTCGAGCGCTTTTCCGCTTTTCCATCTAGATGGATGTTTAAATTTTGAGCTCGTAAACATTGAGCCATTGATGTTGAGCTCTACGTAAAAATTCTTTGCTTCTGGTATGCGGGCACCAATGATTTTACCTCGTAAGAGTCCTTCGAAAAACAAGTCTTCGTCATTTTCTGCAGTAACTGCTGAGAATGAAACACATGGTGGACAACCTCTTATCCTCTTTTAAAAAATCAATTAATTAGAAAGTCTTGGGAGTGGTCAACTTATAAATCAATTATATAATCAATTTACCGTAACTGTAATTATATTAAGATCATCTAGCCTAAAAAAAGCGAAGTTTGAACTTATCAACTCACCATGTTGGGTCTTGCTAAAACATTTTTGTTGATTATTGTACACTAGAGGAAATGCGTTTTGCTTTACTGACCATTTTATTAAATCGGTGTTTCTCTCTCAATAGAGACCCAGCTTAAGTTTAAAAAACGTTACGTCGGAGATTATGAAATCGGTTATAACCAAGTCTTATCTACGATCATCTTTTTCAGTTATCAACGGGACAATATTCGTCATACTGCAAACTCAAGAGCACAGTCTTCAATATCTCTTAAATATCTCGAAAGGTGAACCTTTGAAGCCGAAACTAAATATAAATATAATGGGTATTGAAAAAAATACTGCTAAAACTTTTCAAGACAATAGAACTTCAAACTAGAGAGTGCGGCCTTTCAAAAAGATAATCAAATGTTGCTTCCAAAAATTAAATTTTTGGTTATCTCACGCATCTGATTTTTTTAAACACACAAAACAGGCAAAGCGACATTTTGAACACACAAAATATATACCAGTATTGAGGCATAAGAAATGGACTAAAAATGCAATAAATTTCTTCCTCTTCCTCAAATTTTGAAATATGTAGCACGTTTGAAAGATAGATTCAATCTAATACCGCAAGGATTCATGAAAGCAGTTTACTTGAACCCATGGTTCCAATGACCCATAATTTTAAGATCTATTTTTTTTAATTCAGACGAATATTTTTAAATACCGAACAATTTCGAATCAAATTACTGAGGCCCAGACAAATTAGCTCAGGGAAAAAAGTTTTATTTAGAAGGACTGAAAACAATTCTATTGAAAATTTTCCTTAAAAATTTTTTCAAAATCATTCAAAATCTGAAAACTAATTTTCTACTAAATTAAATCTGTAAATCAATTTTTGATTGGTTCAAACCAAGCAGTGAAAAGAATATTTATAACAAAGCTTAAAAAACATTTCTAAAATAAGATTCATCGGATAGAATCATAGTTTCCAAAGTTTACCAGGCAAAGCAGAACTTCGCAAAGAGGTACAAAAATTGGCAAACGAACGCTTAAAAACTGAAGAAAACCTAAACTAGATGAGATAAAACTTGCTCCACAGTAATCTAGCCTACCGCTTCCAGACTTAGTCTAACGTTGACACAAATGAGAAATCGGCTCTTGATGTTTCTAATCACTAGCCAATATCAAAACGGATCAATAACATGATATTGGACTGCTATGCTATGCAGCAAAAGTGTCAAAGAAGAACACTAATTTATGTCAGTTGGTTTGGGGTTGACTCATAATAGAACAAGCAATTGGTTTTTCAAAAACATGATTCAAATTTGAACAGATATAATCGAGAATTTCTTGTAAGAAATCAATCACTCATATAATCACAGAAAAAAACTTTAGGAAATTTTGGTAGAATTAAAAACAGTAAGAAAAGAATTCGACAGAAGCAAGGCAGGCTGACCTCCAGCGCCAAAAATCTACCAAAAACTTAAATCATCGAACAAATTTAGCTTGGAAGAACTCTTAACGTGCACCCAATACACATGCAACCAATACAATAACCATGCTATAACTTAGCAGTTGATATCCTACATTACGAGGCCAAAGAGTGCACTAGATAGTCGCACAATTTTGTGTTTGCATGTTCCTGGATTCCAGAGAAAAGTCTTTAAACATGTTGAAATTTAGTCGGAAAATCGAAGAAAATGAAACCACAAAAGAAGAACAAAGGGAGCGTGTCCTTGTTGCGGAATCCGCTTACAATTCAAAAAATACACAGTTTGGCCTCGTTTTGTAAAAGAAATGCTTACAATTTTATCCATTT